GCAGCCCCAGACTAAGCTATCGGTCCAGCTCCTCAGCGCGGGCCAGGGTAAGGTCGTCGCCAAGGGGAACCGCTCCGCTCTGGAGCGTAACACCGAGGAGCTCCTCACTTTCTTCGGCCCTTGCACGGAGCTCAGCTCGGGCGCGCCGCCCGCCCCCAGGCCAGGCGAAGGGCGCGTAGCCCCGCGCCAGCCGGCGCGGCAGCTCCTGGCCGCTGCGAGCGCCGCGCTCCCAGGTGCGCTCTCCGGCAGGGCGCCTCCCGGCTGAGCTGGCGCCCGCGGGGCCTTGGCGCCCCCCCGCGCGGGCACTTCCTCTCGCGATTGCCCGCGCGCCGCGCCTGAGCGGGCGCGCGCCTCACCTGTGTCCTGTTCCATTCTCGCCCTGCCCTCCCTCGCCCTGCCGCCGCCCACTGCGGCCGACGCCCTAAGCGGTGTGGCGGTCAGGTTCCCGCCCCCTATGAACGCCATGGCTGCAACAGGCGGTGTCGACAGAAAGGGTTGCAAGCGTCGGGGGAATGTTGGGACGACCACCTGCTTGTCTTAGTGCCCTCATGCCTCGGTACTTCATCCTGTGACCCCCATCCTGCCTCAAGTGGGGTTGCAGCCTCACTTCTTGTTGTTGTCGGGGCAGCGCGGTCGGGAGGGGTTGATGAGGCGACAGCTCGCAAGTACAATGCGTGCCTTGTTTTTCTTTCAGTCTCCCCATCCCGCCTCACGGGCGACCCGGCCCCGTCGTCGCCGTCGTCGTCGTCGTCGCCGTCGTCGTCGTCGTCGTCGTCTTCGTCGTCGTCGTCGTCTTCGTCGTCCTCGTCGTCGTCGTCGTCGTCGTCGTCCTCGTCGTCGTCGTCGTCGTCGTCGTCGTCGTCGTCGTCGTCGTCATCTTCGTCGTCGTCGGCGTCGTCGTCGTCGTCGTCGTCGTCGTCGTGGTCGTCGTCGGCGTCGTCGTCGTCGTCGTCGTGGCCGTCGTCGTCGTTGTCGTCGTCGTCGTCGTCTCCCCTTTGCGGCCACGAGCGTGCAGGAGGCCGAAGCCGTGCATGCGTACGTGCGTCCTGCCTCACAGTGGTGATGGGGCCCCCTCCGTACACGCAGCGTGCGTGCTTACCTGCCTCACAGTGGTGATGCGGCCCCCTCCCTGCGCGCGCTGTCAACGAGAATCCTGCCTCGCAGTGATGAGGCGGCCCCGTTGTCCACATGTCGTGTACCATGGGCCTCCTTCGTGTACTTGTAATTGCAGCATGGGCATGGCCACTCTGGGGGGGGGCTGTCGACTAGTGCATGACACTGTGCTGTCAAGGGGGCTTCGTCCGTTGAAGGCCGCCGATTGATGTCGTCGTCGTCGTCGTCGTGTCGGCGTCGGCGTCGCCATCGTGTCGCGGCTACATGTGCAGAAAAGGCCGTCACAGAGCATGCGTGCGCAGGTCCTGTCTCACAGTGATGATGCGGTCTCCTGCCTGCGCGCGCTGTCTTCAGAAATTTTGCTACCCTGTGTTGATGCAGCCTCGCATGTCCACATGTTGCGTGCCATGCGCTTTTAGCGCTCTGCGGAAGGGGCTGTCGACCAGTGCCTGGCATAGCACGGGTAGGGAACATCGTCTGAGAGAACACCGAGTGTGCGTATCATGTGTCTGTATGCTTGCCTTGTGCGTGCTCGTGTGTCTTGGCTGTTTCGTGCTCTCCGTGGGGTCCCGAGGCGAGGCAGACATGCTGGGGGGTAGGCGGACGTGGGGTTTCCACGCAATATGTCGTTTAGCGGGCACTTTCGAAAGTGGCAGCACGAGTGTCCACGCCTCGGGGCTTCCGAAGGTAATCGTGCTTCACCGACGAGGGTCGGTGCCGTCGCGCCGTTTGCCGCCGTGGTAATGCGACCACCTGTCGTCGTCAGCGTCGCCGGTGTCGGTGCGTGCCTTTGTCCTGCTTCTCAGTGGTGATGCTGCTCCCTCGCGCGCGCCACTGACCTGCCTCGCGGTGGTGATGCGGCCCCCGCTGCTCTTGTGGTCGTGGGGGGCCCCCGTGTGTCCCCCTGTTTGCGCGGGCGGTGCGGCGCCCATTGTCCGCCCTGCGGCTAGGTGTGCGAGGGGTGGTGGTGGTGTGGGGGGGGGGGGGGGGTAAGTAGCGATAGCAGTTCTGTTTGCCGCGACCTGCCGTGACTTGCTCCGATGACTTGCTCCATGACCGGCCGGTTGCATGCGACGCCGTGCCTGCTGTCCGCCGCGACGCCGTGCGGCTCCGTGGGCGGGGAGGGGGTGTTGATGATGATGATGATGATGATGATGATGATGATGATGATGATGATGATGATGATGATGACGATGATGATGCCGATGAGGATGATGATGATGCTGATGATGATGACGATGATGATGATGACGATGATGATGATGATGATGATGATGATGACGATGATGATGATGATGACTTTGTCTGCCACGACTTGCCATGACTTGCCCCGATGATGACGACTCTGCTTGCCACGACTCGCCAAGACGGTGATGCCCTCGGGCCGCCTCCACGAGGGGAGTGAAAGATTTCTTCCAAACGGGAGGTGGCCCGCGCGGGCGCGCCTGCAGCTCCCCCCCCCCGCGGAGAGGTAGGTCGCCCGCGCTGCGGGGGCTGGGGGCCCGGGCGCGCGCCCAGCGCGCGCGGCCGGCCCGACGCTGTCGCTGCGTATGAATTGAAATGCAACAAATGTAGTGGGTGTTGTGTGCGGGAGGCGTGGGAGTAACAGCCGTGCTGCCCTTCCCCTGGCTATGCGGCCTCTTTGGGCGCGGCGGTGTTTCGGGGCGCCTCTTCTGCAGCAGGTCTGTGAGGGGCAGTCCGGGGGCCTCCGTTTTCGATTGCCTGTGCGGCCGCGGCCGCTGTTGCGAGGTTCCCCTGCGCCTGGGCCTGTAGGCGTCGAAGAGGCCTTCCTGCTTGCAACGGCTTTCAGAGGCGCCCTACCTGAAGCATGTGGAGATGGACGTCGGCCCATGCACCCAAGAAGATGGGTGGAGACGTGCGCGCTGCATTTTGGATTCCGAGTCCCCCGTGGCGTCTTGGTATTTTTGTTTGCGCGTGTGCCTGTTACTTGCTTTTGCGCGGCGGGGGGGGGTTCGCTGGGTGGTGCAAACGTCGTTGTCGTCGTCGTCGTCGTCGTCGTCGTCGTCGTCGTCGTCGTCGTCGTCGTCGTCGTCGTCGTCGTCGTCGTCGTCGTCGTCTTCGCGGCCCCGCGCGTATTCAGTCGATCACCTTTCTGGCGGAATTGTTCGCAGTAGTGGGCTGGCCGGCGGGGCGGCGCATCGAAGGAGGGCCCTCGCGCAGTCTAGGTCGCGCACGTGCGTCAATTCCCGCCGGTGCGTCCTCTCTCCTGCCGTTCTTGCTTCCGAGGTGCGCAGCGACAAATCTTGGGACGTCGAGCCGAGCGGGGTCCCTGGAAGACGTCTCCACTTTTTTGTTGTTGTTGGATACTTTTTGGGGGTCCTGCGGCAGCGGGGGGACGTCTCCCGTCGGCTGGCCTGGCAGCCGGCTCCGAGAAGCAGCGCGTGGCCTGCATCAAGCAGCTGGGGGGCCAGGGCAAAATAGCTTGGGGAGCTCATTGCGCGCAGTTCTGTGGCAATGTGCTTCGCCCATTGTGGCCTGTCGTCGGCTTCAGGCAAGAATCCCTTGCAGGAGTCCGTCCAAGGACGACTTGCTTGTTCTTGCCGCGGCGACCCGTCGAAGCGCCTCAGCGCGCTCCGCAACCAGGGTCTCTTCGACGAGCGAGCGGCGGGCTTCGCAGGGGCGTGGCTGGAACGGCCCAGGCTCTTCCCGCCGCGCGCCGCCGACGAAGTGCCTGAGCGGCGAGCAGGACGGGCCAGGCCGGGTCGCCGAAGACAGAAGTCCTGCTTTTCGTCTACCTGCCCAGGTGGCGCAACGGGGTGACAGCGGCTTTCTTGGCTACGCTGCCCGCCACTTCCAGGCTGTTCGCCGGCCTCCTCGCCGCGTCAGCTGAGCCGTCCAACGCGGCCGCGGAGTGGTGCGAGGAGTTCGAAAACAAAAATCCTGGACACGGAGTGCCAGTGCATGACACAGGGCCGCGTCTTCAGACCCATGGTGGCGGAGGCCACCTTGTCGGGCGGAGGCGCGAGGCCAGAAGAGCGTTGGGGATCCTGGTCAAACGGGTGGCTCGCGCCGCTCGTGTGGCGGATCGCCTGCCCTCAGTGACTCTCCGTCTCGATTTTTCGAGAGATCGCGCGGCCAGTGTTGCAGTGGCCGCCGTCGACGTGGGCCGCGCTGGCCGCGCCGGCGATCGCGGCTGACGCCGTTCGTGTCGCCGTTGGCACGGTGCCTGGCTTCTGTCGGGTCGCTGGGGTGTGTCTGGGTCCTTTGCGCTCGGTCACGTCCGTTGCTGCCCCTCCCTGTTGGGCCCTCCACTTGGCTGGGCGCGCGCGGCGGCCTCAGGTTGTGACGATTTTTTTTGGTGGCGCGGAGCCATGGGAACCACGCGGCAGTCAGTCAGTCCGTCCGTCCGTCAGTCAGCCAGTCAGTCAGTATCAGCGCCCCAACGCGCTCGGACCCACCTTCAGCCCCCCGCCGCCGCCGCCGACCGCCAGTTCAGCCGCCGCGCCCAGCCGGCGGCGGTGAAGGCCTCCCAGCGCCTGCGTCGCTGCCGCCGCGTCGGCCGCGCCCCTCTGCTGTAATTGCCGTGCTCCTCCGTCGCGTCGTTCTCCTCCGCCACCTCAGACTCTTGGGTCACCTCCTGCGTCTCCTCTGCCTCCTCAGCTTCCTCCTCCTCCTCCTCCTCCTCCTCCTCCTCACTCGCTCGCGCGAGTGGCCCTCTTCGCAGCGTTTCCCTTGGCTGTGGTGCACCCTTCCTGCGCGCGCAGCATGGCCCCCCAGCGGAGAGCCGCCCAGGCCGAGCCCTGGTACCGCAAGTGGTGCACCCACACGCCCAGCGGCACATCGTGGATCAACGTGGCGGACCGCGAAACGTGCAGTCAGTGCGGTATCCCCAAAGGCTCGGCTTACAGCGGGGCCCCGCCACCCAGGAACCAACCTTGTCAAGCGCGCTGATGGGCTGGTCTCGGCTCGAGAGGTGGCACTCGCCAAGCAGGTTGCAGAGTTGCGGGGGCAGATGGCCAAGCTCAAGGTGTCGCCACCTACGCCTTCAGCTGAGCCGCCTCCGTGGACCCAAGCAGATGGCGGTGACCTTGCTCAGAGGCGTGCTCGCCTGGCCAAGTCGGGTCGCGTCTTGGCCGAGCTGGGCGACGAAGGCGATGCCACCGAGAAGGCCAAGTACCAGGCTGAGAAATAACGCATCACCAGTCAGTTGGCGGCCGCCAAGCCCCAGGGGGCTAATGTCGCCGACCTCAGCAACGGGCTACGGACCTCCAAGGCCAAGCTCGAGGGCCTCGCGGCCGAGGGGCGCGCGGCCGAGGAGGCTGTGGCGGCCGCCAAGGCGAGTCAGCAGGCGCTTCACAAAGAACGAGAAGCGCTCGAGCAGAATATCGCCGATCTCGAGGAGAGACTTCGACAGGCTGTCCTGCCAACTCTCCCCCGTGATCAAGACGGTAAGCCCTCGTTGCAGGCGTTCGGTCCAGGACTCGAGGCGACAATGCAGCAGTTTGACACAGTGTTGCAATCCCTGGGCGCCAGTGAACGTTTTGCAGCGGATTTGCGCGCCGTGGCTGAGATGGTTCAGAAGCTCAAGTCGCAACATGACGAACCTGCTCAGTCGTTTCCAGAGCCGGATGAACCACTACCTCCCGCACCTCCTGCAGAACGACGGGAGCCAGGCCGCGCCGACGGCGTGGAGATGGATGAAGAGGCTCAGGCAACAGCGCATGTTGATGATATGGATCCTGCTACACTGCGTGCTCACTTGGAGGCATGTGGACTGGGCGCAGCAGAGCACGCGCCAGTTGACGGACAAGAGCAGGACGAGGCGAGGACGGAGCAGGAATTACGCGAGAAGCTCAAGCGTCACCTCACCGCCACGTTCATGGCGGTCAAGAAGATCCGTATCAGTGCATCTGCATCGGGGGCATGAATGCAGGAGCTCATGGATGTTTGCTTGTACCATATCTATCATTTGTGTCATCGTGGCGTCTGCTCAAGATGGTTTCGCAGTGTCGGCCCCTGCTGCTGGGCCGAGTGAAGCTACCATTCCGCATCGTACAACTTTGGGTGAGTCTGACTTGGACCCTATGGGGTGTCCTGATGGAGACCTGGAGGTGCAACATACATCGCCCACCGAATCCCAGAGCTTTGCGTCAGCGGGAGCTGGCCACGGTGCTGGAGTTGCTTTCCTTCCTCCTGTAAGACCTCAGGAACGGCGCTCCCGCTTGAGACTTCCTCGCGATTGAACCAAAAGTTCCTCGCAATGTAATCAAGACCCCCGCTCCCGCCAGAGAGCCCTTCGCATTTTATTCAGGAGTTGCGCTCTCGCCTGTGCCTCCCATGCAATGTATTCAGAAATCGCGCTTTCGACGCTCAGGAAACACGCTGCGCCCAGGGCGCCGGTACAATTTATTTAGTAACCGCGCTCTCGCCATACTCAGGCATCCCGCTTGAGTGTCCCACCCGCCCGACCCGCCCGTCAGGGGATCCCCCGCCCGTCGTGGGCTCCCGCCCGAGACTTCCTTCAGGAACGGCGCTTTCGCCGAGGACTTCCTCGAACGTTCACGCTCTTACCTTCCTGTTCCTCCTCTCTCTCCTTCCTCCCTCCTCCCTCCTCTCCTCCCTTCTCTCTCCCCCCCTTTCTTCCCTCATCCTGATGTCTCTCTGCCTTATCCCCTCTCCCTCATCTCCCTCCTCCCTTCTCCCTCCCCTCTCGTGCCTCCTCCCTCCCTCTTTCTTTCTTTCTCTCTCTCTCTATCTCCACTCTCTCTCTCTCTGTTCCTCTACCTCTCATATGTTTTTTGTTCTCTCTCTCTCTCTCTCCCTCTGCCTCTAATCAACCGCCCCCCTCTTCGCTCCTTCTCTCCTGGCGTTTTCCCTCTTCCTTCGTCCCTCCCCCTCCCTTCCTCCCACTCTCCCTCGTTCTCTCCCTCTTCTCTTTGCAGGGCCCACACCAATTCCAATGGCGGGCACATGTGCGCCCACGAAAGATTGTCCGCCCGTTCAGGTGTGTCCGCCTGTCTAAGCCCGACGCCCCCCGCAAAGAGAAATAATCCCCCCAAGGGGGTGTGATCGAATGCAAAAAGAGCGGGTGTCGAGGGTGTGGGGAACTCGTTTTGAAGGACACGCGGGCAATTGAGAGCGAACAATCTTATACTGATTGTTGTTGTTGTTGTTGTTGTTGTTGTTGTTATTATTGTTCTTGTTCTTGTTTTTGTTGTTGTTTTTGTTTTTGTTGTTGTCGTTGTTGTTGTTGTTGTTGTTGCTGTTGTTGTTGTTGTTGTTTTTGTTGTTGTTGTTGCTGCTGCTGTTGTTGTTGTTGTTGGTTGTGGTTGTTGTTGTTGTTGTTGTTGTTGTTGTTGTTGTTTTTGTTGTTGTTGTTGTTGTTTGTTTGTGGTTGTGGTTGTGGTTGTGGTTGTGGTTGTGGTTGTGGTTGTGGTTGTGGTTGTTGTTGTTGTTGTCGTTGTTGTCGTTACTGTTGTGGTTGTTGTTGTTGTTGTTGTTGTTGTTGTTGTTGTTGGGTGGTTGGCGTCGTCCCACCCGCGACCCGCCCTGCGACCCACCCGCGATTCACTCCGCGACCCACCCGCGACCCACCCGCGACCCACCCTCGACGCACCCCGCGACCCACCCCCGACCCGCCCGCGACCTATTCCGCGACCCACCCGCGACCCACCCGACACCCACCCTGCGCCCACCCGCGACCCACCCGCGACCCAGCAGCGACCCACGCGCGACCCACCCGCGACCCACCCCGCGACACACCCACACTGATTGAACGAAAAACCAGCACCTGCGGCGGGCTCGTGGTATATTTGTTGTAAAAATTTGGCTCCTGCGCTGGGCTTCTTCGGAGCCTTGCAGACTGTCGACGTCCCCGCCGCCCCCCCACTCTTTTCCGCGACTGCGGGGTGCGACGTAAAAAACCTTCACCCCCTGTCTCGCCCGCCCTCCTCTACCTTCCCGTCCTGTCCGCCTGGGCCGGGCCGCCCAGGTTGCGCGCTCCCCCGCCGACCAGGAGCAGGAGTTGGAGTTCAGTCGGCCCCAGTACCAAGAGGCCAGCAGAACCCCACCAAAACCTTCCTCAAGGAGGTTTGCTTTAAGTAGGGTAGGGGGGTTTTCCCCCCAGGACCTCCCACCCCCCCCTTTCAAGGAGGTTTTTTTTGGGAGTCGGTTTTCTTGTTTTTTCCAAGGACCCCCCCCCAGACCGCCCTCAAGGTGTTTTTTTGGGGGGAAGTGGGGTTTCATCCAGGACCCCGCCCTCAAGGATGTTTTTTTTGGGGGGGGGATTAGGGACCTGGGTTGGGGATGCCGAGCTTGAGGGGGAAAATATTGTTAGGAAGGGCAAGAGGAGGAAGGACGGATGACAAAGGACGTCGATGCTGATGTCGATGATGGCGGTAATGGTCATGGCGGTGCAGGAGTTCAGTTCGGTGGCAACGACGACGATGATCTTGGTGGTTATGATGAGGAGAAGGGTACGGAGGATCAAAGGGCAGACACGTACGAGAAACAAAAGGTTGTTGATGGCAGAGAGGGCGCGAACAAGGAATAACAACATGATGGAAGGGAAGGGAAGGGAAGGGAGGGCTGCAAGGATTAGGAGGGAAAGGAGGAGGAGGAGGAGGAGGAGGAGGAGGAGGAGGAGGAGGAGGCGGAGGAGTTGGAGGAGGAGGAGGAGGAGGAGGAAGAGGAAGGCGAGGAGCAGTAGCAAGAGGAAGGGAACGCGGGAGCGAAGGAGGGTGGACGGGAGGAGGGACTCCAGGAGGAAGGGATGGAGATAGGGAATGAGGAACGGTGGATGGGGGCACAGCGGGAGGAACGGTGGATGAGGGCGGGGGGAAACGAAGACAGGAGCCAGAGAAAGAGAGAGAGAGAGAGAGAGCGAGTAACAGAGATAAAGACTGTTCCGTGCGCAGGCTCGCCTGTCCGCTTGGTCCGTGCACTGTCCACGGTTTGCTTGGCGGGATCCAGCTCCTTGCGCTTGTGCATCCTTGTGATCGCCTCCTCCTCATTCTCCTCCCCTTTTCTCCTTGGCCCATTCGTCGGGGGGATTTTTCTTGTTGGGGGAGAAGGTCTGTGGATTGAAGTCCCACCGTATTGACTGCGAGGGTGCCTGAGCTTTGGTCCTCAAAGGCGGGGGGAATGGGGAGAGGTGGGCTTGCGAGATGAGGAGGAGAACGAGGACGCGGAGCAGGATGGCGATGCACAGGAAGACATGCATGAGGATGAGGAGGAACACCGAACTTCTGCGGGGAAACTTCTGTAGTACAGGGCCAGAGGCCCCACGTCTGCGATGCTTCTTGTGGTTGGAGAGGGGGGGGGGGGACGGACGTGGAAGGGACCCGCTTCGTTTATCAGCGCCTTTGGGCGACGCTGGGTGCTCACTGAGTCTCCTCCCCAGCAAGTGGCACAGGCTTTCATCGCAGACCTCAATAGTAGGTAAGTTTGCAATTTGGTTGAGAGATCTGGCCTCACTCTGCCAGGCGGGATGAAGGAGCGGGAGCTGTGGCTGACTGCCATGACCAGAGCAGCGAAGCCCCAGACTCCCCATCTCCGGCATCTGTACTGCCAGGTCTTCTGTGATGCTGTCCCCACGTGTGATGCTGATGCTCTGATGATGGTGAGGACGATGATGGTGATGGAAAAGGTGATGTTGGTCGTGATGGTGATTGTGATGGTGATGGTGATGATGATGGTGGTGATGATGATGATGGTGACTGAGATGGTAGGAATGATCATGCAGATGCTGCAGATGTTGATGATGCTGTGGTCGATGATGATGATGATGCTGTTGATGATATGATGATGATGATGATGATGATGATGATGATGCTGACGATGATGATGACGATGCTGATTCTGATAATGATGCTGATGGTAATGATGTTAATGATGGCGGTGGTAGTGAATGATGATGAAGATGATGCTGCTGCTGATGATGGTACTGAGTATGCACACGATTGTTATCACGAGTATGCGTATGATATGGTGGAGAGCGCTCATGATGAAGATGTCGATGATGATGATGATGATGATGATGATGATGACGATGATGATGATGATGATGATGATGATGATGATGATGATGATGATGATGATGATGATGACTATGGAGCTCAAGTTTTTTACTCAAACCCATAATGCGCGTTATGTGGCCTCCAACCCACCCACCCACCCAGTACATGACATAACGGCCGCCGCCCCACCCACCCTCGTCGCAGCAGTGCCTGATGTGTAGCGTATAGTTACGCATGCTGCTCGTAGTGCGACGACAGCGTGTTTGCAGTGTGCGCAGGCATACGCCTGTGGCTCGTAGGGGCGCATCGTGCGCGCAGGTTGTTGTGGGGCCCACACAGGCGCGCCCGCGCGCTTCGCGCTATTGTGATGCCCGCAGGCAGATAATGTTGCGCTCGCGGGAACGCCGCGGTGCTCACAGGCGTATTGCGGCGGCGGCGGTGCCGTCGGGGCCCGAAGCGCT